TACCAGATTTCAGTGGAAATGCTTCCAGCTTTTCCCCATTCAATAGGATGTTGGCTGTGGATTTTTCATAGATTGCTTTGATTGCATTGAGGAATGATCCTTCCAAACCTAGTTTGCTTAGAGTTTTCATCATGAACGGGTGTTGTATTTTATCAAATGCTTTCTCGGCGTCTATTGAGATAATCATATGGTTTTTCTTCTGCAGTCCGTTAATGTGGTGTATCACATTGATTGTTTTGCACACATTAAACCATCCCTGCATACCAGGGATAAATCCCACTTGGTCTGGGTGGATGATCCTTCTGATGTGTTGTTGCATTCTATTGGCGAGAATTTTATTGAGGATTTTTGCATCTATGTTCATCAGGGATATTGGTCTGTAATTCTCTTTCAGTGCTGCATCTTTTTCCGGCTTAGGAATTAAGGTGATGCTGGCTTCATAGAAAGAATTTGGGAGGACTCCCTCTTTTTCGATTGTTCTGAATAGTTTGAGAAGAATTGGAGTCAGTTCTTCTTTAAATGTCTGGTAGAATTCAGCAGTGAATCCATCTGGTCCTGGGCTTTTCTTTTTTGGGAGGGCCTTTATTAGTGTCTCAATTTCTGTCTCAGTTATGGGTCTGTTTAGGTTTTCGATGTCTTCCTGGTTCAATTTAGCTAGGTTGCATGTGTCCATGAATCTATCCATTTCTGACAGGTTACCCTGTTTGCTGGCATACAAGTCCTTGTAGTACTTTCTGATGATTCTTTTTATTTCTGTGGTGTCTGTTGTTACATTTCCTTTTTCATCTCTGATTTTATTGATTTGGGTCTTTTCTGTTTTTAGTTAGTTGGGCCAATGGGGTGTCAATTTTGTTTATTTTTTCAAAAAACCAGCTCCTCATTTGGCTGATTTTTTGTAATATTTTTTTGGATTCAATCCTGTTGATTTCTTCTCTGATTTTAATTATTTCTCTTCTCCTACTAGATTTGGGTCTGGTTTGCTGTAGATTTTCTAGATCCTTGAGGTGAATTGAAAGCTCATCTATATGGTGCCTTTCCAATTCCTTGATGTAGGCACCTATTGATATAAACATTTCTCTTTACACTGCTTTATCTGTATCCCTTTGTTTTGATATGTTGTGCTGTTATCTTCATTTACTTCCAGAAAATGTTTGATTTCTCGTTTAATTTCTTCTATGACCCATTGTTCATTCAGGAGCATGTTATTCAGTCTCCATGTGTTTGCGTATGCTCTAGGGGTTCCTGAGTTGCTAATTTCCAACTTCATTCCTTTATGGTCTGAGAAGCTGCATGGTATGATTCTAATTCTTTTGAATTTGCTGAGACTTGCTTTATGGGCTAGTATGTGGTCAATCCTAGAGAAGGTTCCATGTACTGCTGAGAAGAATGTAAAATCTTTAGCTGTAGGATGGGAAGTTTTGTAGATATCTGTTAGATCCATTTGGGTTATAGTGTTGTTTAAATCTACTGTCTCCTTGTTGATCTTCTGTCCTGTTGATCTGTCTATTTCTGAGAGGGGAGTATTGAAGTCCCCCAGTACTATTGTATTGGGGTCTAAGTCTCCCTTTAAGTCCGTTAACAAATCTTTTAGATAAACCGGTGCCCTGTATTTAGGTGCATATACATTGATAATTGTTATATCTTCCTGTGGAATTGATCCCTTAATCATTATATAGTGTCCCTCTTTGTCTCTCTTAACAGTTTTTGTGGTAAAGTTTATGTTGTCCGATATTAAGATGGCTACGCCAGCTCTTCTTTCATTTCTGTTGGCATGGTATATCTTTTTCCAGCCTTTCACTTTCAGTCTGTATGCATCTTTGTTGGAAAGATGTGTTTCTTGTAAGCAGCAAATAGAAGAGTTTTGTTCCTTAAGCCAATCAGCCAATCGGTGTCTTTTAACTGGACAGTTCAGGCCATTAATGTTCAATGTGACTAATGATAAGTGGTAACTTTGCTCTGCCATTTGCCAAAGATAAGTTCTAATATATGCTTTGAATTCCCTGTGATCTTCTGCTGTGAGGTTTCCTTCCTGCCAGATTACCAGGCTGTGGTGCCAGATGTGGGTTGCCAGCTTGATGGGCTAGGTTGTCCTGGCCATTTACATGTGTGAAGGAGGGTTAGGAACGCTGCCAGTCTGTAAGGAAGTTCTGCACCTGCCATCCCACCAGTCAAGCTTGTCTGATAGTGGCCTGACTGGTAGGGGCAGGAGTTTGGCTTGGAGAACAGGGCAGGGTGAAGGCAGTAGGTTGTCCACTGTCTTCCTCTTGTCTACAGCAGCTTTCTTTTGCCTTGATTTGAGCTGAATTTCAGTGATGTGAATTGTTTTCTGCTTAATAAAATGAACTCTAGGTGTAATAGAATGTGAAGGCAAATAGTTGTAATAAATCACCTGCACAAGCAAAAAAAAAAAAAAATGATGACCGTGTTTCTGTGTTTCTGTGTGCAACTCATCTTTAAGCATCTTTTGTAGGGCTGGATGAGTGGCAACAAATTCTTTCAATTTCTGTTTGTTATGAAAAGTCTTTATTTCACCTTCATTCACAAATGATAGCTTTGCAGGATATACTATTCTGGGCTGGCAGTTTTTCTCTCTTAGCACCTGGGCTATATCTCGCCATTCCCTCCTAGCCTGTAAGGTTTCTGATGAGAAGTCAGCTGTGAGTCTGATTGGAGATCCTCTGAGAGTAATCTGACGTTTCTCTCTTGCACATTTTAGGATCTTTTCTTTATGTTTCACTGTGGTGAGTTTGATTACAACGTGTAGTGGTATGGATCTCTTTTGGTCGTGTTTATTAGGGGTTCTATGAGCTTCCTGTACTAGGATGTCTCTGTCCTTCTCCAAACCTGGGAAATTTTCTGCTAATATCTCACTAAAAAGCCTTCTAATCCTTTCTCCCTCTCCATGCCTTCAGGAACTTCTAGAACCGGAAAGTTGGGTTTTTTTTTTAATAGTATCCTGAAGATTCCCGACAATATGTTTTAGATTTCTAATTTCCTCTTCTTTTCTTTGCTCTGACTGTATCCTTTCCTGTTCTCTGTCTTCCAAGTCCGATATTCTCTCTTCTGCTTCACCCATTCTGTTTGTAAGGCTCTCTAATGTTCTTTGCATTTGATCTATTGAATTCTTCACTTCATTATGATTTCTTGTCACTATCACAGTTTCCTGTTCTACTAGTTGTTTCATTTCATTTTGATTCCTCCTTAATATTTCATTTTCACGAGAGAGATTTGCTATCTTGTCCATTAAGGATTTCTGTAGTTCAAGAATTTGTTTTTGAGAACTTCTAACTGTTCTTCTCAATTTTTTGAGATCTGCTTCTTGCATTTCTTCTATCTCATCATCTTCATAATCTTGAATTGGGGTGTCTTTTTCATTTGGGGGCGTCATAGTGACTTCCTTGTTCTTATTACCTCGGTTTTTGCGTTTGTTATTTGGCATATTGGAGATATTTGGTTTCTTCACTGTGGTGCTTTTTCTTGTTATACTATGACTGTAGATTAAGTGGACTGTCTGTTTTTCATGGCGCCTTAGAGGCTTGAGATGGGTGTGGCCTGAGAGCTCTGTTTGGTGTGCCAAAGGTGACAATCCCAGGTTAGGCGTGGTAGATCTTTCTCTCTTTCTTTCTTTCTCTTTTTGATTCAAAAATGGAAGTAATTCCGCACAGCTGAATGAAGTTGGAGGTAGATAGCAGGCAAATGATATACCCACAGGAGCTAGAGATCGGAAGCTCTTTCCCAAGGACCACACAGGGAATCTGTTCTGCCCTCAGGGTGGGCTCAAATTCTCCTTCAGTCTCCCACTGGATTGCCAAAGTTACGGAATTGTAGCGTCTCTGGAGAATACTCACGTGAATTCTGTGAGTTCTCTTCCCCACTGTCTCTTTTTTCACAGTCTCAGTTCAGTAGCACCACAAATTCACTAGGTCCTAATCTCCTGTTAATTCACCCCACAGAGTCAGGTTTTTCTGCTAGGCTCAGGGCCGGTGCAGACCTGAGGTCGCTCTGCTTATGACGTATGTCCGAGATGGCGCCTGCTCTTTGTCTTGCTCACCTTTGAGAGGTGAGCAGAGAGAGAGAAACCCGGGTCCGTATTGGTCACTTTTTTCTCTCTCTCTCTCTCTTCTAGTTAGCCTGGTGAACTTTTCCCCCTGGGGGCGTTCCCTCTAGTCTCCTCTTTCTGCTAGCCTGCTGGTGTCTCAGGCTATTGAGGTTCAGCTCACCTCACGTTCCAGCGCTGGTGTGTAGAGTCTGCCGCTGGTGTCCTGAACTGCGGGCTCCCACGCTCTCCACGCAGGTCCACTGTGAATCACTAGTTCTGAAAGAGTTTCTTCTGCTGTTTCTTCCGCTACTCTTCCTTGAACCTGCAGTATCTCCACTTTTATTAAACTGTCTCTTCCCGGACTATCAGTGTGCTCCCTTCCTATTCCGCCATCTTCAACTTTTATTTAAAAAAATAATATTACAGAGCTATAAGAAATTCTGTAATATTTCTGGAAAGCAGCTTCCCCATTATTAGATAATGATTTCCTTTTTTTAACTTATATTTAATAAATATAAATTTCCAAGGTACAACTTTTGTCACGGCTCAATAGGCTAATCCTCCACCTGTGGCACTGGCACACTGGGTTCTAGTCCCGGTCGGGGCACTGGATTCTGTCCCAGTTGCCCCTCCTCCAGGCCAGCTCTCTGCTGTGGCCTGGGAGTGCAGTGGAGGATGGCTCAAGTCCTTGGGCCCTGCACCCGCATGGGAGACCAGAAGAAGCACCTGGCTCCTGGCTTCAGATCAGCACGGTATGCCAGCCAAAGTGTGCCGGCCACAGCGGCCATTGGAGGGTTACCAACAGAAAAGAAAACCTTTCTCCCTGTCTCTCTCTCTCACTGTCCACTCTGCCTGTAAAATAAAGAAAGAAAGAAATAAAGAAATATTATAGAGCTACAAGAAATCTTGTAATATTTCTGGAAAGCAACTTCCCCATTATTAGAAAATGATTTCGGTGAGAGAAGCGACGGCGCATCGCGGTGCGGCGCAGCTCCGGCTCCCCTTTCCCCCTTGCAGGGCGAGAGGTTTCTATGGGGCACCCGCTGCCGCCGCCGCCGCTACCGCCACCGCCGCTACCGCCGAGTGCTGTCTCTATGGCGAGGAGGAAGAGGAGGAGCGCGAGCTCAGCGACACAAGTACATAAATAAAGGATAAAGTATTTTATGAAACAAATCTTCAATCAAGTATAACATTTTGATGCTTGGCATCTAGACTCTTGTGCCCTCACTATGCCAGCAGCAACTGTAGATCATAGCCAAAGAATTTGTGAAGTTTGGGCTTGCAACCTGGATGAAGAGATGAAGAAAATTCGTCAAGTTATCCGAAAATACAATTACGTTGCTATGGACACTGAGTTTCCAGGTGTGGTTGCAAGACCTATTGGCGAATTCAGGAGCAATGCTGACTATCAGTACCAACTGTTGCGGTGTAATGTAGACTTGTTAAAGATAATTCAGCTAGGACTGACCTTTATGAATGAACAAGGAGAATACCCTCCAGGAACTTCAACTTGGCAGTTTAATTTTAAATTTAATTTGACGGAGGACATGTATGCCCAGGACTCCATAGAGCTGCTAACAACATCTGGTATCCAATTTAAAAAACATGAGGAGGAAGGAATTGAGACCCAGTACTTTGCAGAACTTCTTATGACTTCTGGAGTGGTCCTCTGTGAGGGGGTCAAATGGTTATCATTTCATAGTGGTTATGACTTTGGCTATTTAATCAAAATCCTGACAAACTCCAATTTGCCCGAAGAAGAACTTGACTTCTTTGAGATCCTTCGCTTGTTTTTTCCTGTCATTTATGATGTGAAGTACCTCATGAAGAGCTGCAAAAATCTTAAAGGTGGATTGCAGGAAGTTGCTGAACAGTTAGAGCTGGAACGGATAGGACCACAACATCAGGCAGGATCTGATTCATTACTCACAGGAATGGCCTTTTTCAAAATGAGAGAAATGTTCTTTGAAGATCATATTGATGATGCCAAATATTGTGGTCATTTGTATGGCCTTGGTTCTGGTTCATCCTATGTACAGAATGGCACAGGGAATGCATATGAAGAGGAAGCCAACAAGCAGTCATGACATGAAATAGTTCTTTTATTTTATTTGAGCTACACACATGCTTGTATATAGGTTTTATCTCTGGTTGAATCCTTTGAACAATAGACAATACTTTCCCCCCTTTCATAGCCCATTTTATTTCCTGCCTTTCAGTACTAAGTATGACCATTCCTATCTCAGATATCAATAAATAGAAATGCATTCAGGTAAAATTTGGCCTTAATTTAATACACTTGTTAGCAAGCGTGTGTGACAGAAGAGTGGGGAAAGCTACATCATACTGAATATTTTGATAAACTTACTGACTTGAGGTTTGTTTTTCCCCTTTCCTAAATTAACTAGCACTGACTGTAATTTATTTCCCTGTTTCATGTCTCCCTTCCATTCTACAGGAGTTTTAGCTATTTGAGATTGTGGACCATCAATTTTGCACTTTAGAGAGTGATTCTGACTCAAATCCTCTGTTCCATCAGATATTTTGGTTTTTCTTGCTCTTAGGTGGAAAAATGACCATCTGCCAACTTTATACAGTATTTTCTTGTTTTTGAACCCAAATTACAGCACTTTCATGGTGCAAATTGTTGATTAAGCAAGACTAACAAGAAAAAGAGACAAGGAAATACTGAGGAGCTTAGTAACTGTTGTTTCTATATGTAGTGTTTAATCTTCCAAGCACATCTGCTGTCTGTCAGTTTCTAATTGGCTTGTGTAGGCTGCTCTGTGACTGAAGAATTTGCAAACCAGCTTTACACCCTTCAGGAAAAATCCCTTGTGATTGGACATTTAGTATCTGCCAGGAAACTGGTATTCATGTTGTTGAAGGTACAGTTTTATGATAGCACACGTCCCCTGATCTGCTTATTATTCCGTCACTATTTACCCTTTCTTTTTATTTTGTAACCATACTTACAATGTCCTTGATTTGTTAATTACACAAATCAATTTCATTTAAAGTCCAAAGATAACAAGTCTTTAGGTATATTTTTATCAAATTAAAAGACAAAAAAATTGTGCTTTCATAGTTACTACAAAGTTAAATAATGGAGAGATTTGGTGCAAAATAAAACACAAAAATATATATATACATATATGTATAGCTAATAAAACTACCTGAGGAGTGTAATGCTTGTTTATTTTTTTGTGTATATCTTTGCAATCTATTTTATATATTTTGACAAAAGAGACTGTGAAATATTAGCCATGCAGAATATGTGACCAGACCAGAGCATGTGCAGGAAGACTTTTTGGTAATCATTAACTCTACCTTGAAATGATGGACTCCAAGTTATAATGTGTTATCTGCACTTCAATCAGTAATATTAGCAAATCTCCAAATGTTAGCCACATTGGTTTGTTTCCCCTGTACATTCTTTATTCCTGACAATATAATACTGTAACTGGGCGGTCCTTTTTAAACAAAACATGATTTGCAAAACAGAGGGTATTATTTGTTTTTAAAGCTTTTGTAAATAAAGGCTTCAGAAATGTTTTCTTATAAAAAAAAAAAGAAAATGATTTCTTTTTTTTCAACTTTTATTTAATAAATATAAATTTCTGAAGTACAACTTTTGGATTATAGTGGCTTTCCATCCCCAATAACCTCCCTCCCACCTGCAACCATCCCATCTCCCACTCTCTCTCCCATCCCATTCTTCATCAAGATTCATTTTCAATTATCTATATACAGAAGATCGACTTAGTACATACTAAGTAAAGATTTCAACAGATTGCACCTACACAGACACACAAAGTACAGAGTATTGTTTGAGTAGTAGTTTTACCTTTAATTCACATAGTACAACACATTAAGGACAGATATCCCACATGGGCACTAGGTGTACAGTGACTCACCTTGTTTACAATTGGCACTCTTATTTTATGACGTCAATAATCACCCAAGGCTCTTGCCATGAGCTGCTAAGGCTATGGAAGCCTCTTGATTTCACCAACTCTGATCTTGTTTAGACAAGGCCATATTCAAAGTAGAATTTCTCTCCTCCCTTCATAGAAAGGTATGTCCTTTAATGGCCCATTCTTTCCAATGGGTTCTCACTCATAGAGATCTTTCATTTAGGTCCTATTTTTTTGCTGCAATTCTTGGCTTCCCATGCCTGTGAAACTCTCATGGGCTTTTTAGCCAGATGCAAGTGCATTAAGGGCTGATTCTGAAGCTAGAGGGCTAGACAATGATTTCAAAACAGATTTTTGTTTTAGACAAAAACTGCTAGTATCCAGTCACCACTGAAAATTTTTTCAATTTTTACAGTAATTGCCTCACCATGTTAATTCTTCAGAAATTGACTCTGATATAGATCGTTGAATGTGTGTGCTTCTTTCATGTTTGGGGATTTGCAACTTTCCTACACATCTTCAAAGGCTGCTGTGAATCCCTAGACTGATTAAGTCCTTAGAGCAGGAGGTACTACACAGTGACTGATGATGAGGTTTGTGTTTCAGGATGTGTGGTCTGTATCCTGGGAGCAATGTATGCTCATGGGATCATTTTGGATGGGTTACATTGCCAGTGTGTCTCAGATGACTGTTGCTTCTCAGTAAAAGGAATAAGTGGAACCATAAGTGTTGTAGTAGAGTTGATAGATGCTGTAATTAAAGCTACCACAATGTGATCTACAATGAAATAGTAAAAAATAAATGATTAATTTAGATGGAAGTGGCATCCATGCAATCACCCAGTCAAGAACGATCCAAGTTTTCTTCAGTGAAGAGCATCCCCTGCACTCTGATCTGGAATTTGTGCTACAAATTTAGTGTATGAACAAATACGATCTGATCTTAGCTCTTTTAGAGCTCACTTTCTAAAGAGGGAGCAAACGAACAAACTTAAAATAAACCAAACACATCAGAATCCTACAAGAACAACAGTACAATCACAAAAACAGCCTAAAGTGATAAGCTGAGTGGTAATGTGGAGTCTCTAGTAAGCAGTCCTACAAGAACAGGCGCCATTTACCTGAGACTTGGATAAGAGACAATGACATACGGGGCAGATATGGGAGGAGTGATCTGGGCAGAGGGATAGAAAGCACAGGAACCTGAGCAAGAAGGTCAATTGCCAGTGTCATGCAAGTTAAGGGAAGTGGTCACATGAGGTCAAGAGAGGAAAGGCACAGCCACATAGGATATAAATGCCAGCCAAGTTTAATTAGGGGTAAAGTTAAGTGGGTAGAAAGAAGAAAAACAAGCATGGCTTATGTGTTAAAAAGGAATATGAGAGCCAGAGATGTAAGTTCCTTTTTAAGTACTCATAAATGAGTTGTTTGAAGTTGGGATTGTTTGTTACATCATTTTTTAAAAAAAAAAAGATTTATTTATTTATTTGAAAGAATTACACAAAGAGAGGAGAGGCAGAGAGAGAGAGGTCTTCCATTCTCTGGTTCACTACTCAATTGGTTGCAATGGCCAGAGCTGCAGCAATCCAACGCCAGGATCTAGGAGCTTCTTCTAGGTCTCCCAAGTGGGTGCACGGGCCCACAGTCTTGGACCATCTTCCACTGCTTTCTCAGGCCATAGCTGAGAGCTGGATTTCTTTCTTTTTTTTTTTTGACAGGAAGAGTGGACAGTGAGAGAGAGAGACAGAGAGAAAGGTCTTCCTTTGCTGTTGGTTCACCCTCCAATGGCCGGCGCACCACGCCTATCTGAAGGCAGAAGCCAGGTGCTTTTCCTGGTCTCCCATGGGGTGCAGGGCCCAAGGACTTGGGCCATCCTCCACTGCACTCCCTGGCCACAGCAGAGAGCTGGCCTGGAAGAGGGGCAACTGGGACAGAATCCGGTGCCCCGAATGGGACTAGAACCCGGTGTGCCGGCGCAGCAAGGTGGAGGATTAGCCTGTTGAGCCGCAGCACTGCCCTGAGAGCTGGATTTCAAGTGGAGCAGCTGGGACAGAATTGTTGCCCATATTGGATGCCAGCCCTGCAGGCAGCAGCTTTAGCCACTGCATCACAGCACCAGCCCCTTACATCATTTTTATCTCAGATTCATGAAGCATAAGTTGGTTCTGTGTAGAAATGACACTTGACTTTGGAAAATACTAGAAAGGAGGTGTTTGCTTATGTGAATACCATCACACAGTTGACAGTGAATGGCTTCTTTTGATCCCAAGACACTAAATGACTTTGGGAATGAAATGATAGACAGTTTTCTTACCAGCTCTTAGGTAGGATATGTGTAATGTCCAAGTTCTTATGGATTTTCCCTGTCTAATTCACCTGAAAATAATGCAATTGCACCAAGTGGCCACACTAAAGGGTTTGTGTTTTCTTTAACTTCCATGTTATATCGGGGCATGTTAAAGTGATCATTCTCTGATGAATCAAATAATAATCACACATCCCAAAAAAATTTGCACACAAACATTTACAGGGGGAAAAAGGAGAGACATTTATCTTTGTGTTGTGGGACCAACCATTTTCTTCTAATGAATGAATTTTGATTAGATAGCAAAATGAAATTAAGGAAGAGGAATTCTTTTGTGTTTTAGGGCCTTGTGTTTGTATTACAGATATGTATTGATCACGTGCTATGCTAAGTCTGTCATGCAGATAAATTATTCATTGGTCTACTCAGACACCTGGATTCTTTGGGAGAAATATTTTGTACCATAAAATAGCTGATAATTTACCCCCTCTCAATATGCACACTTGCTTATTTTCTGACATTTTAACTTCTTCCATACATACAATTCCTCCATTAATTTTTCAGGACCATATTGAAGATGATTTGTGCATTTGCCACAGAAGCCTTGAAAACGTTTTTTTGAGGACTGCATGTAGCTTTCTGCTTTAAACAGTAAGTTGGGGATAATCCAAGATGGCAGAATAGAGAGGGAGATCACTGGTCATCCAGGAAAAGATAGTTTAATAAAAGTGAAGATAGTGTAGTCTCAGGGAAGAGTTAGGGGAAAAAAGCAGAGGAAACTCTTCTGGAATTAGAGGGACACAGTGGATCTACGTAGAGGGCACAGGTGCCCAAGGCTCAGGACCCCCGCTGCAGAGAGCCTCCAAACAAGTGCTAGAAAGAGAGGTAAGACAAAACCGCAGTAGCTCAAGACACTGGGGGGAAAGTGGCAGGAAGAGCCTAGAGGGAACGAGGCTTGAAGCCCCGTGGGGGAAAGTACACCAGCCTAACTAGAGGAGAGAAAAATAAAAGGGATGGTAGGACATGATTCTCCCTCTCTACTCACCTTACAAAGGCATGTCAGCCAATAGAGCAGGCACTATTTAGGACATCCCTAACAGCTGTGTCAGTTCATGGCTGTGCCCGCCCTCACCCAAGTAGAAAACCTGACTCTGTTGGGGAGTAATAACAGGAGACTAAGACCAAGTGAATGTGTGGAGCTTATGAACTGGGACTATGAAAAAAAAAAAACTAAGGGTGTGTGGGTGAACTCACTGTGTGGCTGAGACATGAGGAGTCTCAGTGGGAGACACCACAAGCTTGGGTGGCCCTGGCTACCCAGTGAGAGACATTGCAGGGAAATCTGAGCTTACACTGAGGCCTGCACAGATCCTTTGTGTGGTCCTTCTGACAGAGCAGATGAATATTATACCCACTGGGGCTAGCGCTAAGGCACTGATCGCCATTGAGGAGAAGAGCTCAGCTGAGTGGAATTACTTCCCTTCTGATTAGAGAGGGAGGGAGGGAAGGAGGGAGGGAGAGAGAGAGAGAGAGATTGATTTACCATGCCAAACCTGGGTGTGTCACTTTAGGCACACCCTTAACCCTGAAGAACTGAACAGAACTCTCTGGACACACCCATCACAAATCTCTAGAAATTCACCAAAGCAGACAGCCTACTTAATCTACAGACACAGTATAACAAGAAAAGGCGCCACAACGAAAAAAAAAAAAAAGAAGAAGAAACCAAACAATATTTTGACAATGCCAAACAACAAATGCAAAAACAGAGGAAACAAAAACAAGGAAGACAACATGATGCTCCATATTAAACATGACACTCCAATACAAGATTATGGAAATGATGAGATAGTAGAAATGCTAGAAATGGAACTCAAAAAGTTTATGATAAGAATATTTAGAAGGAATCAAAAATAAATGCATGAACTACTGAAATTCATGCAGTACATGACATAAAATCTCTCTCATGAACATGAAATCTTAAGGAGGAATCAAAATTAAAATAGGAATTTAATAAAACATGAAATTGAGATATTAAAGAGAAATCAAAATGAAATGAAGAATTCAATAGAACAAACTAAAAATGGAGTGGAGAGCTTTAGAAACAGAATCAGTGAGACAGAAGAGAGAATACTGGACTTAGAAGAAGACAGAGCACAGGAAAGTATACAGTCAAACCAAAGAAAAGAAGAGGAAATTAGAAATTAAAAAATATTTTTGGGAATCCACAGAATACTATGAAAAACTCAACATTCAGGTCTGGGATTTCCTGAAGGCATGGAGAGAGAGAAAGGATTAGTAGGCCTTTATAGTGAAATACTAGCAGAAAACTTC